GGATGGTAACTTGATGCCATCTGTGAAAAAGCTGAAGTTAAAGAGAGGATGGCTTCTACAAATGGATAATGATCCTAAACACACCTCGAAATCCACGGGGGATTACATCAATAGGCGTAAACTGAAGGTTTTGCCATGGCCTTCACAATCTCCTGACCTCAACATAATTGAAAATCTATGGATAGACCTTAAAAGAGCAGTGCGTGACAGACAGCCCAGAAATCTCAAAAAACTGGAAGACTTTTGTAAGGAAGAATGGGCAAAGATACCTCAAACAAGAATTGAAAGACTCTTGGCTGACTACAAAAAGCGTTTACAAGCTGTGATACTTGCCAAAGGGGGCAGTACAAGATATTAACTCTGCAGGGTGCCCAAACTTTTGCAGATGCCATTTTTTTGTTTTCTGTTATTTTGAAAGTGTAAATGATGGAAATAAAATCTAACTTTTGTTGACATATTATAAAAATGTCTAATCTGTAATTTGATGCCTTTTGGAGATTTTTCCATCTTTCCTTAGCTTCTTTATGCACATTAATACAAATTTTTAGCTGGGGTGCCAAAACTTTCGATCCCCACTGTATGCTGCTCTAAAGCCTGGATATACCTATCAACATTGATGGTGTCTTTCCAGATGTGCAAGCTTCCCATTCCATACACAAAAATGCTCCCCATATCATCAGAGATTCAGGCTGATAACTAGCTATAAAGTCCCTCTACTCTCACTCCAGAGGACATGACACCCAAAAGTATGTCAAATTTCAATTCGCCTGACCACAGAACAGTTTTCCACTTTGCAACAGACCATTTTAAATGAGCTTTGGCCCAGAACGTCTTGCCACCGTTTCTGGACCATGTTCAGATACGGCTTCTTTTTTGAATGATAGAGCTTTAACTTGCATTTTTAGATGGCATGGCAACCTGTGTTCACAGACATTGATATTTGGAAGTATTTCTGATCCCATGCAGTGATGTCCCTCACAGAATCATGCCTGATATTAATGCAGTGGCGTCTGAGGGGCCCAAAGATCACTGGCATCCAATATTGTATTTCAGCCTTTCCCTTGCTCAAGAGAGATTTCTCCAGATGCTCACATTCTTTTAATGTTATTATGTACTGTAGATGATTATATATTTACAGTAAAGTATTTGCAGTTTTGTGTTGAGGAACATTATTCTCAAATTGTTCAACAATTTTTAGATTCAGCTTTTCAGATTGGTGAACCTCTGCCCATCTTTACTTCTGATACACTCTGGCTCTCTAAGATGCTCTTTTTATATCCAATCATATTACTGATCTGTTGCCAATTGACCTAATTAGTTGCAAAATGGTCTTCCAGCTCTTCCTTGTTAGTACCAATTACTGTGCCAGCTTTTTGTTGCCATGTCACAATTTCATGTTGCTGCCATCAGTTCCAAAATTGCCTTATTATTTTTGTTTGTGTAAACATTTGATGTTTTCTGTTTTCTCTTGTGAATAAAATATGGGTTTGTGAGATTTTTTATATCATTGCATTCTGTTTTTGTGTAGAATTTACACAGCATTCCAACTTTTTTGGAATGGGGTTGTAGAGTGGCTTGTAATTAGGTAAGGAAAATGATGCCGCAAGTAATTGCAAATTAATTGCATGTAGGAAATAGACACTAGCTATGCTCAACAAAATTAAATTTGATTTGCCTTGCTATGAGACTTAAAGTGATTGTAAGCCCTTGCCTTGTAAAACAAACCATTCTGTTTAAAATAGACATAAAAGGCAAAACATTTGTTTATAAATATAAAAATTATATTATATACTTTTTCTTCCCATTTTGTTTTACTAACGATTACATACTCTCTGTTCTCAGCTGCATAAAAGCTGGGGGAGGAGAAACAGCAGTACACTGATCTTCCCAGTGAATGGCTGTGCAGGGGTGGTGGGTGTCAGCAAAAGCCTAATCATTGGAGAAGAGCACACTGAATTCCCAGCACAGCCAGAGAACTGACCACGATGTGGTGTCAAGCCTACCGTGGTTAGTTTTTTTTTTTTTTTTTTAAATAGGGAAGCAGAAGGATTGGCAGCCTGGTGGAACACCGGGGATTTTGCACAAAGGAAGCAATACAAAGAGAACAATATACATTATCAAACAAGTACATGGTACAGCAGGCACATATCAGGAATATGAAATGTTGGGTTAACATATTATTTAAAGGGTAGATATTTAGTTATAATCCCATTTTCCTTTTTTTTTCTTTCGTCTTTCTCGTGTTATAAGAAGTTATGGAGTGGGGTGTGAGACCAATTAATTAATAAGCTGTAAACAACAAGCGCATACAGGAAAGAAAAAAAATTAAATATTAAGACAGCCAATTTTTCAAGGCTGAGCGGATGTTCTGGGAGGGATTATTGTTATTGAAGAACACAGAACAGAAATGTAAATGTATCATATTGACTCTATGAAAACACACTTCAAACTACAGAGATCATAAAGCCATAAAGTTATGGCTATCCACATACCGTAGTATTGATTAGTCCCCCTTTTTGCTGCCAAAACAACCTTGATCGAGGCATGGACACCACTAGACTGAAGCTATGTGGTATCTGGCACCAGGCAGTCAGTACCAAATCCTGTAGGGTGGAGCCTCCATGAATTGTTAGTCCAGCACATCTCAAACATGCTCAATTGGATTAAGATTTGGAAATTTTGTCAAACTTAAACCATTTTCATAGTGTTGCAAGGCACATTAACCCGCTGAAAAAGGCAACTGCCACCAAAGAATACTGCTTCCATGAAGGAGTGTACTTGGTCAACAACAATATTTAGGTAGATGTTACATATCAAAGTAACATTCACATAAATGGCAGGACCAAGGTTTCCCAGCAGAAGATTGCGCAAAGCATCACGCTGCCTCTGCCTTCTTGCCTTCTTTCCATACTGCATCTTGGTGCCATCTCTTCCCCAGGTGATGCACTTACACTCCTCCATCCACATGATGTAAAAGGAAACATGTTTCATTAGACCAGGCCACCCTCTTCCATTTCTCTGTGATCCAGTTCTGATGCTCACTTTCCCATTATAGGTGCTTTTGGCTGTTTACACGGGTCGACATGGGCACCCAGACTGGTCTGTGACTATGCAGCCTCATACACAACAAGGCCTCGTGCACACTCATGTTTTTACAGCTGCTGCTTTTGGCATCAGGCAGTTTTCTTTTTGTTTTTTCTTTTTTTTTAGTTCATAAACCCCCCCAGCATGTTATCCTATGTGTCCAAGCATCCACAGGCTTTTATCAGTATTTTTTTTGGCAGGGGTGTTTTCAGGCTGGAAAAACCACCCAGACCTACTGTATTTAAAAAAGAGTCTTTCAGCTGTAAAAACAATCTAACTTGAAAACGTGGCTATCCAGCATTTCTGAGACTCAAGCTTTTTTTTTTAAAGCAATATTTATGGACACTGACATTTTTCTATAGTAGTTTCCTATATTTCCCAGTGTGCTTTGCTGCTCTTGTTTTTATTGTCTGACCTGTGCTGTGTACAAACAGGAACATTTCCCAATGTCCTTTGCTTCCTCATGGTTTCAGCAGACTGAACTGTATGCAAACAGGAAATTCCTTTTATGGACATTTCCCAATGTCATTTGCTGTCTCATTGGCTCAGCTAGCAGAACTGTGTGCAAACAGGAAATTCCCTTTATGACAAATGGCGGATACACGACAGTATATCAAAGGATGGTCCAGAATGGTCGTCGACAGCTGTTTCTCTTCTCCAGCTGTCTCTGTCTCCTCACTATCCATAACAGAATCAGCAGCATATCCTCATTAATTTTCTGCATTACAGGATCCATAATGGACACAGCAAGAAAAAGAAAGATAGCTCCTAAAAAAAAAACAGTGCTCTCTCTGCTCTGAAAGTGGAGACTAAACAACTACACAATGAATATTCAGAGATGCATTGTGGGAAAGTGGGGGTTAAAAATAGCAGAGAGGTATTTTCTTGCTAAAAAAAAGCTAATGCGGCAAAACGCTAAGAACCGCTAATAAAAAAACACTGCAAAACTCGTTTTTTTCACACAGCAACATAACTGGTGGTTTTATACTGTCCAGTGTGCATGAGGCCCAAATTGTGATATGCATTTTTCTGCTTTCATCACTTCTTGAACAGCAGGTTTACTTCCTGACTAATATATCTTTTGACTTCCGGGTGCCATTGTAATGAAACAGTGGATGTTATTCACTGAATCTGTCAGTGGCTGATTGGTGTATATTCATATGGACAATATGTTTAAAAGGCTAAAAAGAAAACATATGTGGCCCACATCCAAAGTTAAAAAAAAAATAAAGCAATAAAGAATAAGAAAAGGGCATTTAAAGAAATCTAAAAATGAAGGAACGCCATCAGAATGTTAAAGTTACAAACAATGTAACAGAATGTGTGAAAAGGAAATCAGGGCCGCAAAAATTAAAAACGAATCACAGGTTGCAAAAGAGGGTAGGACAAACTCCCAAGAATTTGAAAAAAATATTAATAGTAAAAAGATCAGTTCTGACCACATATGTCTTTCATAGATAATTTAGACTTGGTGACTGGGGACAAAGAGAAGGCAAATATATTAAATACCTTCTTCAGCTCTGTGTGTACAAAGAAAAATGGGGGAGCTCAAGTCCATAATGGGGTTAGTATTGACACAGCTCCAAAAGAACTCCAGTGCCTCAATACTGATATGGTCTAGAAGCATTTAGACAAATCAAGGTGAATAAAGCATCTTCGACCAGAATGCTTACACCCACTGTCCTCAGAGAGTTGAAATTATATTGAAGCCATTGTTTCTAATGTTTAGAGAATTTCAAGATTCGCACAAGGCCAATGTGGTGCCTACAGTATAGTAGCCTCCCTGGCGGTATTCCCGAGTGTAGCTCGGGGTAAAGTTTCAGTACCACAAGCGGTAACCCCGAGCTACACTCGGACTTACCATGCGGCGCTGCTCCGGGATCCCTCGATCACTTACCTTGTCCTGCGCTCCCGCGATGTCCCTCCTGGATTGTCCCCGGCAATGTAATCCGGCGGATGCCAGCATCTGTCATCTGGGTTCCGTCCCCTGCGAGTGTCGGGATGTACGGGGGACGGAACGGCGGGAAATTTGAAAATGACAAAAAGGGACATTCACTAAAATCACATAGTAAAACATTACTGTATCAAGCCATTTCACATACATTTTGTCCCGAGTGCTTTGTCCTGTGCCCTGCCTGCATTTTTACTGTTCTTTCTGCCTGGAAACTGAGAAACGTCCATGGGGTCCAAAAAGCGTCCCTTTAGGTCAAAAGCGGTTTTAGACCAGCTAGAGAACAGCGATAGTAAATCAGAACCACTTGCAGAATTGAGTGATAATAATTCGTGGGGAAATTCGTCATCAGACACTGAAAACAATTTTGCGACTTTGCTCAGTGATGTGCGAACTTGGCGCTATATTTCAAATTTCAGTGTTTTTGGTTTGATTATATTATTGAATTAAATTTATTATTATATTATTATTTTTTATGATTATTTATTAAATTATAATTTATGATGATTTTGTGTTTCAAGTTTTATCCTACCCGGGATGTTTACTAGACTCTTGTTCGGACAGATTTCAGTGAGTTATTCCTAAAAATTATAGGCCTACAATATAAAACGCCAAATTTCCATGCAAAATAATGGTACCGCTTTCAGCACCAAAAATCTGAAATAATCATACCGCCAGGGAGGTTAAAAAGGGATCAATGTATTTAACTGTAGTTATAGATCAGTTTAAAGGATAAGTTCACCTTTTGGAATATGTTACATGTTCCACCCGTATTTAGCTGCTGCAGCCTCTCCCCCTGATCCTCTCCCTCAGCTGCTGTCACAATTCAAAAACAGTGAAGCCACGAGGTACTCTGCCCACACGGCCGCATCATTCATTTACAGTTTCCTATGGATGATCCTATAAATGTCTACAGAAGTCTGATATTGCACCCATGATCCGCTGATCACAGGTGCAATGCTTTCCAGGCTCCTGCAGAAAAAGATAATAAATGCAAATTTTTTTCTGTAAAACTATGTGCGTTTATTCTTTTTTCAAAATAAAGGTGCACTTATGTTTTAACTGCTATAGTCAGGAAGATCTTGAGAGTTTGATAAAGTTTTTGCTAAAAAAACAAAATTTTAAGCCATAGACAGCATGGATTCGCAAAAGACCAAATGGGTGGCTGTACATATAGTACATTTGGACTGTGCAAACGTGTTTGACACATGGCTAGTGTGACAGTTAAAGTCTGTAGGCTTTGAAAGTTTTGTTTTTAAATAGATGCAGAATTGGCTAAAAACGGATTCAGAAAATAGTGATTAATGATTCATTCTCTGAATGGTCTAAGTTTGTTTGTTACTTAAGATTCAGTTTTGGGACCCTTCGTTTTTATTCATTTATAAATGATAGGATTAAAAGTATAATTTCTGTGTTTGCAGATGACACCATAATAGAATAACATCCTCGCAAGATGTCTCCAACTTACAAGCAGAACTTTGTGCACTGTTTGATTGGGCATCAGTGGCAAAAAAAAGTGTATAGCTATGCACCTGGAGGCAAAAACATGCATGCATTATGCATTCTAGGAGGAGCACAACTGGGAGAATCAATGGTTGAGAAGGATCTGGGTGTCCTGGTAGGCCAAAGACTTCACCTAGGTTCATACTATTACGGGCTGTGCAGCCCGTGTTTCATTTGAATGGCTTGCTGTTCCTCTGTTTCCCACAGAAAAAAGTGCATGCACCTTTTTAAATGCGGTCGGCAGGGAAATCGCATGGTCCTTTCATCCATGAAGTTTCCCTGCTGTTCCTGCATGCTCAAATGTGCTACGGTCTGAGATACATGGGAGTGCCATTCAGGATGAATGCCAGCCTTGAAGGTCTTGTAAGAGTAGTGTGATTTGGCTGTGGGGGTGCGGGAGCAGGTGCGATTCCTGCACCCACAACCAGCCCACTGACTGTAGGCAAGTGTGATGCTAGGCTTAAAGGAGAAGTTTGGGGTTTATAAAAAAAAAAATAAACCTTCATACACATCTCTATGCTGCAGCATCGTTGTGACCTTTTGAAATATGTTCCATTCGTATTTAGGTTAGAATATGTAACATGCTCCAGCTCCTGCAGCCTCACCCCCTGTTCCCCACCTCAGGGTGACAGCAGGCGGGGATCCTCTCCCCGCAGCTGTTGTCACAATTCGAAAACAGCGCAGCCGTGAGGTAGTCCACCCACACAGCCCCCTCATTCGTTCACAATTTCCCAAACGTTTCTTAACCCCTTCAGGCCGGATCGTCCTGGCGTGAAGAGGAGTTCCTGCGCCGGGAGGTGGACGGGGCTTAGTGTCATGTGGCCGCCGTGACGTCACGGATGGTCACATGATCGGGAAAGGTCCCGATTGAAAGAGCGGACTGGGACCTTTCCGTGAGTACTGCACATGTGTGCTGGGAGCGTGCAGGGCGCGCGCTCTTAGCACATATGTTTTTTGTTACATGAACGCAAATGTGCGGCCTCCCAGCGTCTGCGGCCGGCGTGAAGGGGGGTTAAAGGAGAAGTTTGGGGTTATAATAAAATAAACCTTCATACTCACCTCTATGCTGCTGCATCAATGTGACCTTTTGCAACATGTTACATGTTCTACCCGTATTTAGGGTGGAACATGTAACATGTGGCAGCTCCTGCAGCCTCTCCCCCTGATCCCCGTCTCAGTAAGTGAAAAAGTAAGTCACTCCTGTGAACCACAAGAGTAGTATTACCAAAATGGACATAATGTTGCCTCTACACAAATATTTAGTAAGACTCCATCTGGAAAATGCAGTTCAGTTTTGGGTACCAATTCACAAAGAAGGTATTGGGGAACTGAAGAAAGTTTAAAGAAGGGCAACCAAATTGTTAAGAAGCATGGAGGAGCTCAGCTATGAGGAAAGATTAGCTGCACTGAAGGGGGGATATGATCACTTTGTATAAATACATACTGTACGTGGTTCATATAGTGAATTTGGTGTAGAGTTATTCACAGCATCACAAAGGACAAGGGGGCACACTTTATATCTGAAGGAAAGAGAGGCCCCTTTCACACTTGTGCACTGTTTGTCCATTTTTCATCCACCCATTGACGGATGAAAAACGGACATCAATGCATGTCTGTGGACAAACAGTTGTAAACAAATGATTATCCGTTTATATGCGCATACGTTATGATCCTTTTTTTTTTTTTTAAAGGAATCATAGCTTTACTTTTGCTCCATTTAAAAAACGGAAGTAGATCTAAGCGGGCAAGTGAGGGAGCCTGTCTGTACACTAAACTGATGACCTGTAGGGGCTTTTAAAGCATTGCCTATGGAAGTTATGGGGTATTTTTTTTTTTTTTGTTGTAGCACGGGTGCACACAATTTTAATTCTTGACATATTGGGTATCTATTTACTCGGTGCAACTTCTTTTATATTTTACAAAAAATTGGGTAAATTATTGTGTTTGTGTGCCCTAAAATAATTTTGAATGTATTTTTTACTTAAATTCTGCGTTCCATAAATTGCGCTAATATCATGTGACTTAAAAAATTGGAACAACCACTTTTTTCTTCTCTAGGTTGTCTGCGTTCTGCAAATATATAATGTTGGGGGGGTTTAAGTAATCTTTAAGCCTAAAAGTAGTTTTTTAATCAAGTCAACAAAAAATGAAAAGTGGCTAAGGATTCCAGATAGTGGATGTAAAAAGTTGATGTAAACTGGTCTGATGAAGCAGGCAGACTGCCCATGTGAAAGGGGCCTTAACCTCCACACATGGAGCGGCTTTGTCACAGCTTTGTAAGCTGTGAAAATGTGGACTAGGCTTCCTCAAGAACTAGTGGCTGGATGTATTCCTAAATACACAAAATATAACTGAATAGTAACATTTACAGTGGGGAAAATATGTATTTGATCCCCTGCAGATTTTGTACATTTGCCCACTTACAAAGAAATAAAGGGTCTATAATTTTTATCATAGGTGTATTCTAAATGAAAGAGACAGAATATCAACCAAAAATCCAGAACAAATGATACCAATGTTATAAATTGAGTTGCAGTTCAGTGAGTAAAATAAGTATTTGATACCCTACCAACCAACACTAATTTTGGCTCGCACAGACTGGCTATGTGCTCATATAGTACACAGATTAGTCCTGTCAATTTAGGAAGGCGCTCCTAATGACAGCTTGTAAAGAGCTGTCCAAGGAAGTCAGAGACAAGATTGTAGACCTGTACAAGGCTGGAATGGGCTACAAGACCATCAGCAAGAAGCTTGGTGAGAAGGAGACAACTGTTGGAGTGATTATTCGCAAATAGAAAAAAACTGCAAAATAACCATCAATCGCCCTCGGTCTGGAGCTCCATGCAAGATTTCGCCCCATGGGTTAAGGGTGATAATGAAAAAAGTGAGGGATCAACCCAGGACTACACGGGAGGAGCTTGTGAGTGATCTCAAGGCAGTTGGGACCACAGTCAGCAAACAAACCAAAAGAAAAATAAGAGAAGAGGAAAAAGAGGAGGTAAACAAAAGAAGCAAAATGGAGCAGAACAAACCGCTTATGGCATCATAAAAATATTCCATTTGTCTTCTAGAGCCCTTACCCAAGCTGAACTTTCTTTACTACAAAAGGAATTGTTTTTTTTCTTCCACATTCTATCCTAACACTTTTTAAAGATTTGACCACTTTACAACCATGCTATAGCCGAATGACAGCCACAGCACAATTGTCCGGTTCTGGGAGGGCGTCATATGACATCCTCCCTGAACGTGCTCCCAGCGGCGCACACACGGCGCTGTCAGTGATCGCAGTGTCCTACTGACACAGCTGATCGCGTGACATGGTAAAAGGCCAATCACAGCGGCCTTTTACCACATGATCAGCTGTGTCCAATGACATAGCAGATCACAAAGTAAATACAGTTGCCGGTAATCAGCAGCACTTTCCTCATGTTGTCACAGCATGAGGAAAGTACTACCGATAACTGTCAAATGTCACAGAGGACACACGCACTGATCATCAGGGCCCATAAGTGCCGCCTATCAGTGCCCAGCATTCTGCATATCAGTGCCTCCTCATCAATGCCCACCAGTGCCACCTCATCAGTGTAGCCTATCAGTGCTGCCTATCTGTGCCACCTCATCAGTGCCCATCAGTGCTGCCTATCGGTGCAGCCTCATCAATGCACATCAGTGAAGTAGAAAAATTACCTGTTTGCAAAATGTTATAATAGAAACAAAGAAAAACATTTTTTTTTTCAAATTCTTTGCTTTTTTTTGTTTATAGTGCAAAAAATAAAAACCCCAGTGGTGGTTAAATACCACCAAAAGAAAGCTC